GGTCATGAGGAGGATGCTGAAGTTGTCAGGAATCCAGTCCAGATGTTAAGGTACTCCCTACTGGAGACCCATTTTCTTTTGTACCAGAGACAGCCTTCAAATACTGTCCCATGTCAAGAACACAGCAGTCGCTCAAATGTCAAGCATATGCACAGATGCCTAAAAAGATCAAACCACATTTCTTCAAACTGAAGATGATGAATGCTTCTTCTGGAATATATATATATTTAAAAGTCACAAAAGTTGAGCTATCAATATCATTTATTTTTATTTATTTCATGAAATTTATCTACCGCAGTTGCAGGGCGTTTGATTTTCGCCTTGATTTTCTTCTACCTCCTGCTGTTAGGTGTGTGCGCGGCGGACCCCCGCCCTAGTCTGGGGAGATCTCCCCGCTGCAGTCGGTCCCTCGGCCTTCCTTCTGGCGGAGCTCGCCTTATCAGCTCGCACAAGCGGAAGAAACTTCCCCGAGCCGTTTCCCAAGTGTGAGGAGACGCCTTCAAGCGGCCATGGCGCGCAGCTCAAGGGCGCCGCGTCCACCAGGCCCGCCCGCCCGCCCGGAGGGAAGGGGAGCCCGGCGCCCGCCCCGCGCTCGCTTCCCCACGCGGCCTGCCGCTTTCCGGGCTCGCACCTGGGAAACGCCGCCGAGGGAGAGGCGGCCTGAGCACCTGCTGCGAGCGCAGCCAACCCCCGTCGCCGCTGAGCAGCAGCAGCAGGCGGACTGCGCTTGCCGCCGGTCCCCAGCCTCCGGGGGCGCCTCCGCTCTCCGGGGCGCCAAGGCCGCTCCCGCCTTCCTTACCTGCGCGCATAGCGCCAGTCCCGTCAGGGGCGCTTCTTCCCGCCGCGGCGCCGGGAGCCCCCCGGGGCCGCCATCCTCGCCGCCTCCGCCTTCCCGCCCGGCTCCTCCTCGCGCGCGGACTTGCGCCTCCCTCGCAGCGCCCGGCGGGCCCGGCTCCTCCTCGGCGCGGCTGAGGGAAGGCGGAGGCGGCGCGGGACACCTTCGCCAGAAGAAGCCTCGAGGGGCTCCGGGCGCCCCTCGCAATGGCGCCCCGCGGCTGCCGGCCCGGCGCCCGATACCGGGCTGGGAGTCAGGCTCCCCGAAGCGCCTCTTGCCTCAGCCCGAAGTGTCAACGCAACTGTGAAACCTTCTTCTTCTTCTTTCTTTGCTGAATTGCACGTTCACGTCGTAAATCCATCTCCCTCCTCCGCGTTGGTTTTTTCCCCCCTTTTGCGCTCCCAGTGACATAAATAGATGGAGGTTCATATGCGGAAACCCCTGATTCGTAAACTTTCAAGAGGGTCCAAGTCTGGGAGGTTTAAAGAGTCTTGGTGACTCTGAAGAAAGAACTCGCAGGAACCTGAGCATTTGCTTTGCTACATGGCGAAAGCTACCCTGGGGCGAAATGTAAATCGGTCCCTCAGTGCTGCCTCATTTGCGGTGACCCTGAAAATTCTGGATACGCGTAATGGAAAACTGCTTACCAGCACTGAATTAATAGGAAACTGGCAGCAGCTTCAGTCATCTACCACCTGTAGAAACACCTTCGAAGAGCTATGTTAAATATGATTTTTTTCCCCTTAAAAATAATCTCATACATTTTTATTAATCTTGACTTTAAACACTTTTATGGATCTTTATTGTTCTGAACATTCTCTTTGATGGAAACATGGCAAAAGGAATTCATGGTTGGCCTTAAGAACATGAGAAGAGCCTTCTGGAACAGGCCAGGGGCCCATCTAGTCCAGCATCCTGTTCTCACAGGGGCCAACCAGATCCCCCAGTGGGAAACAGGACCTGAGCACAAATAGTGCTTTCCCCTCCTGTGGTTTCCAGCAACTTGTACGCAGAAGCATTGCTGCCTGCAGTTGTGGAGGGAGGGCAGAGCATAGTCAACATAGTTAATAGCCATCAATAGCCCTCTCCTCCTCCATGAATTTGTCCAATCCTCTTTTACAAGCCATCCATCACTGCCTTCTGTCAAAGCAAGTTCCATAGTTTACCATAACTACGTGCTATGTGAAGAAGCAGGGCTTTTATTCCAGAGGAACTCACATGAACTCAGTCCCGGCACCTCTCAGATGGGTGCCATTGCCATTTTAAGAGAACAAGGGAGGCATTTATGGTGAATTCGAGCACCTTGTTCCCTAGAAAAATAGCACTGTGAATAAGTATTTTCTTTTATCTTCCAGCATTCAGCTTCACTGAATGTCCATGAGGTCTAGTGCCATGAGAGAGGGAGAAATACTTTTCTCTTTAAACTTTTTTCAAATCATGCATAATCTTATACACCTCTATCATGTCCTCCTCCTTTACATACTTTTTTCTAAACTAAAAAAATCCCCTTTTCACCTTTCCTCATAAGGAAGTTCCTCTTCCCTGCACATTTTCAGCTCAATAATATTTTTATATAGGTTTAGTTACCAGAAGTTTACAGATTATTTTAAAATGTAGTCATACCGCTGTTTTGTATAACGGAATTATGATATTTGTACTTTTATTTTCAGTTCCTTTCCGAAAGTTCCCTAACATGGAATTCACCTTTTTTCAGGGCTGTCACACACAGCATTTTCAGGACAGATGAAAGAAAGTAGTGAGGTTCTGATCACATCAAAAAGGATATTGCAGAGTTAGAAAAGCTTCAGAAAAGGCCAAGCAAAATGATCAATGGCTAGAGCAACTCTCCAGAAACGAGCGGTTGCAACATTGGGGGCTGAGGGTTGGCTTAAAGAAAAGGTGAGTAAGAACTGACTTGATAGTACAGTACACTATAAAAGTATGCATGGCATTGAGAAAGCGGATAGAGGAAAACTATTTTCCCTCATAAGAACTCAAGTGGGCACTTATCCACCAAGTCCTCTGGTCTGGCAGTGGGACTATGTAATGCCAGGTCAGTACAAAATAAGGCCATGCTCAGCCATTCTTTGATCATGGATGAAGGCGCCAACTTGCCATGTATTACTGAGACCTGAGTGGGTCAGCTGGGTGGGTCTGACCTACTTGGTGCAGCACCAAGCCATACTGGAGAGCCAGGGCAGGAGCATCACCAATAGGAGTTCCATTTCCTTTGCTATAAAATGTCTAGCATTATGCTGGCGGACCTCAGGGCAATAGTTCATAATGAGTCTAACATCCATATAGAGGCTGCTGTTGGGCCAGCTTGGGACTTTGTGGTTTCCATGACAACCATGTGGCTGTCTCAAATGTTCATCGGTCTGACACACCAAGCAGATCATACCTTCAATGTAATCTCTTCCCTGAGTGATGCAAGTTGTGGTCCGACGGTACTGTGCCTGTGGTCGTAGTCTGACCAATATCTGGTGAAGTTTGGGTTGGTGGAGGTAATTCACATTAGAAGGGTGGTGTACCGGTTTGAATGGTCTGCCCCTGGAGCCTGATCAATTCCCGGATGCTCCGGGGGATTTTACAGCTGAGAAAGCTTGAACATCCTGTCAAAGCCCTGATCTCACTGTGGAATCGTGAGTTGAAATCAGGGCCAAGCCGCTCACCCATGAGACAAGGTGAGGCAATTGCCTCAGGCAGCAAGAGCCACAAGAGAAGCAGATCCAGCCTCCAAGGAATGCATCGCCTTCTTCTGTTGCTGTGGTGGCAGCAATGACTGCGACACGCTGCCAGGAAGCCAGACATTCTGCTTCCTTGGCAGCTCCCTGCATGCTGCCTCCACAGTGGCCTCTCAGTGAATAGGAGGCACTAATGCCATTGATGGTCTCCTTGCACCCCTAGGGAGGAAATACTGGGATCTCCTGGGCTCTGCACATGCCCAGCGTGATTCACAGAAGAACCCTTGCCCATGATGGCCTTTGATTCCCACTGTTGGGTATGGTTGATTAGATCTTCACTCCCCACCCCTTCTTCCTGAAGTAGATCTTCACTCCCCCCTTCTTCCCTGGTGGTGCGGTTCCATTTTGTGGTTCGCCTCAGGTGCCAAAAATATTGGGCCAGCCCTAGTTGAGATGGGTGGTTGGCATAATCACCCCTGAGTATCTGCTCTGGCGTTGTGGAGCACATTTGATTCCCTGGTATTCTGAGGAGCTGTGGGCTATGAAGACACATGGCAGCACACAGAGCTGGCCCACAGCTGAGGTGGGATGCAGCAGCCGCATCAGGCAGCGGAAACGCAAGGGGCAGCATCCTGCCCACCCCACCACTTCTGCCGCTGTGGAAGAAGCTCTGTTTTGGCACTGATGTCCCTGTGAGCCTAGAGGTGGAGGGAGGTCTGGGACAAAGCTCTCTGGAATGTCCCCCTCTCACTGAGTATTGGCCAGAGGGGGGGTTCTGGACACCCTTGTGGATTTTGCCACACACACCCCAATCTTGCAGCAAGGCTTTCTAAGTTCTTTTCCTTGAGGGGAAGCCTTTGCAGAGCCTCACCTGTTCCTATCACGAGGGTGGCAGCAGGACGTTTTGCTGGCAGAAGCCTTGCTTTGAAGTGGACCAAGCTCTGGTTAGTGTGCATAGTCGTGCCTACCATGCAGCAGTGTGGGCAGCTCAGAAGGCATGCTTCACAGCTTGCATTGCAGCCTCAAGTAGCTGACCAGCAGGCCTCTTTTGGGTGGTTCTGAGGCTACTGCTAAGTGGGAAGGACCACCACAGCCATCAAATACCTGCTGTGATCAACTGAATGCGCATTTTAAGGATAAAGTATAGGTGACTTTTTTTTAACAGACAGCTTCTAGCACTTGCCATGGAAATAATCCAGTCCAAATTTTAAATGGTTGGACAAATCATCTTGATTTTATAGATTATAGCATAGTTGAGACCGCATAGTACTAAAACCTGTTGAACCTCTCTTCCTTGCCCATATAAAGTTGACAGCGTTTGTGTAATTCAAATTCAGATTTTCACTTGGAAATTACGGTGACATTTCAAAAGGCGATGTTTCAAAAGGTGATATTTCAAAAGGCACCAAGTGAAGCTTCATCCACTGCATCTTTTGCTCTGTATTTCTCATTCAGGCTCCAGCCTGATGACTTCTCCAGCTATGTTAAAGCTGCCACTGAACTGGGAAGCAAAAATTTGTGAATACTTACCTCTGCTGGTCCTTTTGTTTGCTGTTCCACTTGCAGAAAGGACTCCAGGTATGCTTTGAATTGATAACTGACAACCTACTTCCTCCATTGCTTGTGTGTTGAAAAGAATGATTAATTTTGCCCCGTTACAGGTGAGCAAGATGTGCGAGAGAGAACTGGTGGATAAATGGGGCAGGATGCACAGCAACTATAATCTTGCTCAGTTTGTAATATGGCTGATTCAGGATATTTGAGTTGTGTGATTGTATGAAACACACTGAATTTCAAAAATGTGGAATGCATCTATATACAATGAGTATTATAAGCAACACCCCTTTGCTAAAACCACCCATTTTTGCTGACTTGGGCCATACAGAAGTTGTTTATTTGAACTTTTCTCTCTTGGGTTCCATTGGAGGCTCATCTTCATTGCTGGGTTGGAGATGTTGAAAATGCTATGAACTTGGGACTTATGGACTTGCACCATCCCTGACCATTGGCTATGCTGGCCGGGGCTGATGGGAGCTGGAGTCGACAACATCTAGAGTATCAGGGTTCTCTCCCAAGAAGCATGGCAAAGCAAGTAGGGAGGGCCTCCTACCTTAGAAATCCAAGACTGCAACATAATGCAGAAAGAAAGACGTGAGCACAGGAGAACGCAATTGCTACAGCTATAACAAATAATGAATAAGATCAGATTAATCGTATCCTAGAATGGGATAATGTAGAGCAGGTTGATTTTAGTATTTTTGCTTTATTTTCTTCGTTAAATTTCAAGGCCTGGTTTCCAGGCACACAAGCTGAAATCCTCGCCTGCATTCTCATTTTTCAGTTTTACTTCCATGCAAATCTTTCCTGGTTGGATAGTGAGATGCTGGCTGGGAGGGGCTTGCTCAGATGCAGCATAGGCAGATGACAGCAGTAGCTGCAGCAACAATCACTGAGCTAGTACCAGGCAGCATTTGCTGCAGTCAGCTGCCTGCCACTTTCTTCACATTCTGCAAGATTTCTCAGCGGCAAGCTTTGGGAGCTGCCTGTGCACAGGAGCTCATTTAAGGAGCAGCTGGCTAGAGAATCTAGCTATGTCAGCAGGGCCTCTTTGCTTTGCATCTGGACCCCTTCTGGCATTTTGAGTTCTGCATTGTTGATTTTTGGAGCCGATCTTGTGCTTGTTCTTTCTTTCATTCACCTTCAAATCTTTGCTGCATCGCAAGCTCTCATTATGCTGTACATCATACCACAGTCTGTTCCTTGCCTCTGCTAGGCAGTGGCAGCATGGATGGTGTTCTTGTGACGACCTCTGCTGATTCTATCAGTCCACTGCGGACAGGCATGCTGAGTAATCCTGCTGTAAATGGGCGAGGACACAGACACACGGAAAATTAACCATGGCTTTCTTCGAGACCACAACTATGTGACTGAAGGTAATGCAGATGCTGACATAATTTATCTTTTTGTTTTTGAATGCTAGTGCATTATAATCAAAACCTGTATTCACTTGTTTGGGTAAGTTATATATATTGAAAGCAATTTTTTTTTTTTATGTTTAGCAGATGAAGAAGCCAAATCTCTCTGGTCTTGCTAAAATGCAAGGAAATTTGCCAGGTTCCTGTAAAAATCTGAAGTAAATGGAGCCCTTGGATTAGCTTGTTGAGAGGAATGTGAGCAGCTGGAACTGCATGCCTAGGAGATAACTTGAGAGATCAATTAATATGATAGGCTGAGCTTCCATACATCTTTGGAAATATGTATTCTTTACCTTGCACCAGATCTCTTTTAAGTGAGCCCTTCCTTTTGAGTCTCTTCTGACTTTCTGTCTGGAATGTTATGTAAAAAGCTTGTTCCTGTAAATGTCATGGATGCTAAAATATTTATAGTGAACAAATATATTTTACAGGCAAGCAGGGCTTATATCCATAACAATGTATAGCTGCATAGCATAATACTGGAAATATGGTTTTAAAAACGTCGGTCACGACTGAGCAACATGCCTATCAGTCACTGTGTGATCAGGTTGTGAACTTCCCAAGCATGTCGTTGTCGTTGTGTGTTGCATGTAGCCTGTTTCTGTAGCATCTTCCGTGTGGTATTTTCTCAGCTAGGATGGCAGCTTACATAAATTTAATCAACTGGGCCATGCTCGATTATTGATGATCTGCATTTTTCTAGAAGTATAAAGCAGCTTTATTACTGGAACTACAAAGATAATTTTGGGAGAAACCCCCATCACTTGCCTGAACTTAAGGAGCAATATAAAAATGAAGTCAAAACAGCAATTTCTACAGCATTGACTCCAAGGCCTTCTGCTTTTATGTTCTGAATTGTTGTTTGAAGTCTTGCATCTGTGCGCTTTTTGTCCTATGCATGTCAATTTTTGTTTTATATTAAATATTATTTACACATATTTTGCAATCAGGTGGTAAGGTCGTTTTTATTGGGGATGAAGGATGGCAAAAATTGTGCAATGTGACAACTGTGGTGTGCTGACTTTAGCCATGTAGGCTTGTACATGTGGACAGCTGTAGGTTAAATAGAAACTGAATTCTTCAAGGATCCAGAGCAGTATTTGGTGTCCTCAGTAATTACCACTGGAGAAAATAATTTGCTCAGTTATATCTTTATATATTAAAAATATCTCATGCCCAGAAAATGGCTATTGTTATAGCTCTTTTTCATTTTGCTGAGCATACTGCTGATTCATGGTGGCTAATACTTGAGTTGCATTTATTTTTAAAGTTTAGTCACTTTCCTGCTAGAGTAGCCTTGAAGGGAAATGTAGAGCTGCCTTCCCCCACCATACTGTTCATAGAAATATTACTACAAATGAACTGTTGTTTTCTCATGGCAAAACAGGTTCAAAGTGTCATATTCTTCATTACTTCCTATTTTATTTTAACACGAGGGACACCCATGCAAAATACCCTTCATGTGATAAAAGAGGGGATGGGTATGGTACAAAGCGGCCACATCCCCCCCACTTCTGACGCACTCGCACACCGTGTGACCATGTGTCAGGTGGCTTTACAACATGCACATATAGAAATCTTCCATGTGGAGGTGATCCTGGCCCAAGCAATTATTATTATTATTATTATTATTATTATTATTATTATTACCTCGCTCATCTGGCTGGGTTTCCCCAGCCACTCTGGGTGGCTTACATCATATGCAAAATATTAGTACTGTATATATATGTAGAATCTCTTCACACACATGCCACAATTGTGTGTTTGGTTGGGGGAATCTGAGCACCTTTAAATTGATGGCTGAAACAGAAGTTAATTTGGGAATAATTTACATGTCTCAAGTTTTCTTCCTTTCATTTTGTGACCTCCACCTACTGTTTGGCTTGTTTGCCCCTTAAAGAGAACCTTAAATCTTCCTGAAATAAATAAATTGTGGTGCACATAAGTATTCTGTATGGAAAAGGAGAAAAAATAATGGAGGGCATCCACCATCAAACATCAGTGTTTGGCATCTCTGTTACCTCTTAGTTCTATCTGGAGCTGTAGATGAAAAGTGTACCTAGGTTATGAATATAGATCAGCTGACTTAATTGGACTCTTAGGGCCAGTCTTGCCACAGGAGTGCTTTGGGAATTATTCCTGTTGAGACAAAACATGGAAAATGTTGCATCAGAAACTAAAGCATTGGGGTCGGCCTTTCCTGGGGAAAAAAACATAGATTCCTGCAGACTTTTCTTAATAGAATATTTCTCAAATTTTAGGAATTAATGCTATGCCCAAACTTAATAGGGATTATTTTATTTATTTGATGTACTGCTCTTTGTTCAGAAATAATACTCCAAGAGGTCTAGCAAAGAAGTTTGAAGCACTATCAAAGAAAAATAAATATGATAAAATAAAACATTATAATTCAGTAAATAGAAATGCAGATTGAAAAATAACATATAATGGCTCTAAAGTCTGGGCAATTAAGAAGTTATGCACCTAGTGCCAAAAGAATACCAGATATGGTGCCATGTACAGCCAAAGCACTGGGAAAGTGGATAATTGTAGATAATGATTGAGGATATTTATGGAAACTTATTTCCCTGTAATTATGTACCTAACGTATCCACTGAAGCCAAACGTGGGAATTTTTAAAAATGCTGAGTGATAATGCCAACTTCACTCTAGATAACAGTGCCAGTACCAAAGCAGTGTTCCTCAACTTTTTCAAACAAGATGACCCTGGTTTTCTTCACAAGGGTCTACTGAAAGAACTGGGCTGCACTGGAAATTTCCTCAGCAGGCCTCAGACTACAATGGATTAACAAAAGGTGGGGTGCTGTGTATTAGTGCCAGGTTGATCAATGAAAAAATATCTGCCATCTAGGATTTGATTGTCATTTGCGGATGAGTCACAACTTCAGCAATAGTTTGGTGAAACTGATTATTTAGATAGGGTTGCCACATTTAAAAAAAATTAAACAAAAATCGCCCTACTTGCCATACGTCTGGGTTTTCCTGGACATTTTGCAGATTCAGCAAAAATCTGCCCGAATGCCATTTCGCAGCCCGATTCCCAGATTTATGGCAGCCCTAATTTAGATCCATTCCAATTTGGCTTTTACTCTGATTTTTGTTGCCCCAGTGGACCATCGTTGCCCTAGTAGATCACCTGACCAGGCAATAAGCAAAGGAGATTGAAGCCCTGTTGAGTATCTGTAGTATCAACCGAATTCAGTATCACAACATAATATGCTTCTGGCTAGGATGGGACTTGAGGAAAGGCACTACTTTGTTTTGTTGCTACCAAGTGGTGTTCAAGGTGGCTAGCAGCAGTAATGCAAAGAAAAATACAAAATAAAATGAATCAAATCATGAAAACAAGGCAGGTTAATCACATCAATAAAATCAGTCAAACTGGTACAGACAGCAGCCAAACCAATGGCAGCATGATTCCAACAAGTTGCCTTATGAGACAAAAGAGCCTGTTTGGATGAAAAAATATTTTTGCCTCAGATGAGGCTGGACAGCCTTCCCTTGGCAGGTAGGTAGTTCAAGAACCTGGGAGTAGCCACTATGAAAGCTGTCTCTCAGGTTCCCGCTTCAGGTGTCAGGTACCACTCCCCTCGTCCTGGTCAAGCCAGCTCCCCACATTGGCATCTCATCAGGGCCCATGACAGTTAAATAAAAAAGAGACTGTGAAGGCCTCCCAAAGAACCTCTCCAAAACTGAGTGAATGGGTGATAAAAATGGCAAATGCAGCTCAGTGTAAACAGGTGTAAAGTGATGCATGCTGGCACAAAAAAAATCTTAATTTCACATACATGCTCAGGCCGGATCAGGTACAAGACCTTGGGGTCATAGTTTGATGAAGATGTAGACCCAGTGTGCAGCAGCTGTGATAAGGACAGATTCTATGCTAGGGATCATTAGGAAAGGAATGGAAAATACAGTGGTGCCTCGCAAGACGAAAATAATTCGTTCCGCGAGTCTTTTCGTCTTGTGATGTTTTTTGTCTTGCGAAGCACGGTCCGTCGCAACTGCGCCTCTTCAAGCGGCTTTAAAAAAAAAGCGCAAGACGTTTTCGTCTTGCGAAGCAAGCCCATAGGGAAATTCGTCTAGCGAAGCAACGCAAAACCGAAAAACTCTTTCGTCTAGCGAGTTTTTCGTCTTGCGAGGCATTCGTCTTGCGGGGCACCACTGTATGTCTGTCAATACCATGGCATTATACAAATCTATGGTGTGACTGCATTTGGAATACATGCAGGTCCCACTAGGTGAACCTAATCTGTTCATGAGAAACAGTTCATAAGGTGAGTGTTTGCATAGTGAGCTGACAATTTCCATTCTTAATTGGGAAAATCCCAGTGAATTCCCAAACCCAGAATGGTTAACCCCCAAATGATTAAAAAAAATTCTCCTATCCTTTCATTTCATTTTATTTTCCTTTCATTTTATTTTCACCGACCACAGTTCCATAGATTGCACTCAGTCAGGGTGCTGAACAACTTCTTGCTGATCTGTATACATGCAGGTCCTGCTGTTCGGATATTTGAACCAGACATTCATTTAGTGACCTTAGAGTAAAGATCCTTCACGTGCAGATAACGGAAAGTTCATATAACAAGTGTTTGCATAGCTGGACCTTCATGTAATATGTATGGTTCACATCACCTCACATCAAAAAGGATTCCTCCTCACTACTATGAGCTGAATAAAGAGCATGAAATCCACACTCGACTCCGAGTATATTTCAGGCAGAGTTGAAAAAGGTTCAGAAAAGGGCAACCCAGATGATCAAGGGAATAGAGGGACTCCTGTGAGGAAAGGTTGCAGCATTCGGGATGTTTTAGTTTGGAGAATAGGCAAGTAAGAGATGACATGATAGAAGTTTATAAAATTATGCGTGGCATAGAGGAAGTGGATAGAGAAAAGTTTGTTGGCTTTGAACGAGGATTGGACACTGGGGTGTGCTGATGTCATGAGAGCCCGGCCCGGGGCGTGCTGACATTGTGCAGCATGCTCAATCGCGGGGGCAAGGTGGCGCGTGTGAGCCACTCAAACCAGATACAATATCAGGATAATTCCTAGAATTGGGGCAGAGTAGTGTGCTTATGCAGGCCTACCATATTAC